CAGGTGAAAGAAGCCAGGTCATCGTCAATTATGGACCACCACTTGCAGTTAAGCCAAGGTCACTCCTAGAATCCCAGATGCTCTTCAGGAAATCCCAGGCTCAGCTCTTTCCTGAAGCTTTTAGAGTCATGCAGTTGAATAGAACTTTCTGCAGTGATGAAATGCTCTCTATCTGTGCTACCCTGAACAGGCACTTGAAATGTAGTCAGTATGATACAGCAACTCAATTTAAAATTTTATCTTAATTACAGTTAAATCCGGCCACACATGGCTGGAGGCTGCCATCTTGGATAATGCAGCTACAGAGGGATGTAAGTTAGAATAATGGAAAACAGCAGGACTGGGTGTATCAGGAGCAAGAGCATTTCCTCTAGCTAAGGGTCCTGAGGTGCTTCCTTTACTCTTACCCCCGAGAAGGCTCTCTGCGTTGAGGGAGAGCCAGTCAGTGGCTTCCACGGTCCAGAACCGGGATCCAGTGCCAAGGAGGGTGACTGCAGTTAGCACTACCATATAGTGAATGTCCACGTTTCAAAACGGTTGAGGAATGGGCTGTTTGGATCCCTGAATGGTAGAAAACATCTAGGAATTCCATCTATCGACATATAGTTGAGGTAAGTAAAACCTAGAGGACCGAGATATCTTACCCAAGGTCACATGAAGTCGAATATTTCTGCTAAAAAAGTTATCACTTACCTTAAAACAGGTTACCAGTTCTCAAAGTTACAATGCACAGAAATATAATGAACACTAAAGCCAAATTGAGTGCAATTTGATCTTTGTTATTCAAGACATTTTGTGACTTCTCAGTGCCTGAGGGTCATGATGAACAGCAGGTTTGGGAGCCTAACATGCATTTGTTGTCCTATAACAAAACCCAGCCGTTGCTTTTTTGAATTAAGTCCCTCATATTAACCTTTTAACTTGTCACTTGTGGCTTTGTCATAAAAGAGGACAGAAGAATACATAAAATTCCTGTTGTTCAAGCTAGCTGGCGGTTTAAATCCTATCTAAATGGGGATAATGGCCTTGAACATAGAAAATTAATGTTACAGTCACCATTTATGAGTCCCGCTTATCTGAGAGTGGAGGTGGGTAGGAGGTAAGAGGTCGCTGGTGGTAATCCAATTTTCTTCCATTCTTCCTGTATGAGACACATACTGTTTATTTGCTTGGGGTCCTAGGGTAGTCTGTATTTGGACATGTGGCCAGGCATTCTAATCAATATAGCCAGTAGTTTTAGTCAGTCGTCCTTCAGCAGAGTTCAGGAAGGGACAAATTTCACAACATTATATATAATCTGGAAAACGCTGGTGACTACTTTTTGATCTTTGAAAACTAAATCTTAATGCACGATCAGTTGACTGTCCCACAGTAATCTGACAGACAACCTAACGTTTTTTGTTAAGATGATGAGTACTCTAATACACTGCTTTTCAAGCCGTCTGTAGTCATGGCTGTTTTTTTTCTTTTTTGATTTTCAATCCACTGTGGACTAATAATTCTGTAAAATATAACAACAATGAAATAAAAACAGAAAAGAGTCCTACAAAATACCAGGCTTAATTTATTATTACTATTATATTGATCAGCTATAACATTATTCTGTCAAATGCTGTAACTGTTGCTAATTGCTTACTCCTTAATTCCTGTTCAGACCCAGTGACAGTTTGCAGCCTGGCCTGAGCATCAGACTTTGAGTGGCGTGGCTCTAACACACCACCTCTGTCGGAGGTTAATATCAGCCCAGTCTGCAAGGAAAACACATAGCTGCTTGTATTACAGAGGTGATTTTTTTTTTTCTTTTTAAAGGAAGCTCTATGCCCAGTGTGGGGCTTGAACTCAGGACCCCAAGATCAAGAGTCACGTGCTCTACCGACTGAGCCAGCCAAGCGTCCCTAGAGAGTTTTGAGAGTGTCATGTTCAAGGCAAGTAAGACCAGGTAGTTTCTTGAAGGTCTTCTCACTTGGCTGATTTCAGATCTGGGTCATTTGGGTCCATGCCTGTTCAGGGCTTCTTCCCACCACATAAGCAGGGTCTTTGGGCTCAGACTGGGCCACTGCATCTCGAACTCTTTTTTTCTACCCTGGCCCTCCTGAGCAGCCAGTTTTGGATATCAAGAAATAACATTTAGCTTGAATGGAATGATGGAGGAGGAAACAATTAAGAAAATCGGGTGAAGTCCTATGAAAGGTATTCTCACAGACTCTTTGCCCTGCCAAGAAGACTTTCATTTTCTATGATATCTGCCTGGATTTGTAATCTGAAAATATCACTTCCAATTCTCCTTGGGCTGTGGCCTTGGGGCCACAACTCAGGTGACTACTGACTATACAACTCCTTAACGACTTCAAGCGTTTCATGATTACATGTTTCGCTGGATGCATATTGATGGGCTCTTGCTTAATAGTCCTTGTCACAATATCTTGACAAATAATTCCCTTGAGCTCAATATAAGCTGTTTTGCATGTGCCATCAAACAGTCTTACTTCGCCAGAGCTTGGATTTTAGTTTGTTGCAGGGTGGTCATAGGTAAGTTAATGTTGCTAAGAAAACCGAAGGAAATTTTCTGTTTTTCTTTTGTTCCATCTGTTCATTTTTATCTTGAGTCATTTCATGATTTTGGTTTCTACTTGGAATTTGTCATCTTAAAAAAAATGCTATACAGCAGGTTGGCTACTCTGCTTAATAAGAATATACCTCACCGTGGAAAAATATCATGAATGGATAACAACAGTTTCTATTATAAAAAAGATATTTTTCTTTTGAAGAAATCTGAGAATATTATGCAATTTGTTTAAGCTTAAAGAGATCCATGTCTAAAGATTCCAGGTGGTCTAAGCAAAGTCACCCCGTATGGGGTTTGGCTGAAGCCATGCTTTCTCACCCTCTCGGTATGGACGCCCAGGCTACAACCGATCGCGGGGCTAAGGAGCTGACAGCCGCACGGGCACCGGGGGCATGAATAGCTTGCCCGACTGTACACGTGCTACCATACACTGTTGTACGCAGATCAGAACAAAACAAACAGCACTGTTGCTTTATCAAACTCCCGACTGTGCCGTTTCCCCAAATACAGCCCTCTGCTGTCTATTCCTCTCACATCCACTCCTGACGGTTGTATGATTCACTTCCCAAGTTCAGTTCTACAACTCAAATATTTTCTATTTTGCGTTTCTCTTTGCCTCAAATTCAACAGACCCAAAATAACACCAATCTCAATCTTCGAATTGGATGAGATCCCAGGGGACATCCAATTTTGACTTTCATGGCTACATGAATAGCATTTATGAAGCTTCCAAGAGGGGTTCTCTAATCTCTCCTTTTACGGCTCCAGCTCAAGGGAACTCCTCTCTTCCCAGAGCAGTCATTTTTGGTACTTTGCTTCCGATACCAATTCTCTGTCCATGTTTTCCCGGCCAGGAAATATCCTGCTCCTTCCAGTTCCCAAGCCCCGTTAAGTCAGCACCATCTGATGACTCCCCAGGCCCTTCATTTCTAATCAAGTATAGGCTCGGTCAGGCCTACAGCTCCCTCTCCAAGCCCCATAATTCCTAGCATGTACTAGGTCATCAATAATTAATGGCTGATTAACTGACACTTAAAATCAAGAGTTCAACCTTAGAAGATGTGCGTTTCTTACTTTGAATCTTGTGCTTCATGTGACGTTTTTGACCAAACAGCTAGATGAGAATTTCATCAGGTTAGTCATAAATTAGAAATAAAACTACACCTCATTAGCAGATGAAATGATAATGGTATAGTCTGTACATCATTGAAAGATTCATGTGGAGAGAAGAGTGCTGTATGCAATGGGAAATGACATTGCAGAGAAATTTTGGTAAAACTGACCCAGCTCACAGGAGTGAGCTCATTCTTTTAAATCTCTCAGATTTTTCTTATCCTTTAGTGTGTAGACTGAGTCTAGCTTTCCTAAAATAAACTTTCGTGTTCTACCAGTAATGCTAGTATCTTAAAATTTCATTAAACATGCAAACGTTGAATCTTTGGTAGCCAATTTTATTTTCAAATGATTTCAGTCAGATGGGTAGGAATAGGGACTATTGTATTTTACTGTGATATCCTTACATACCTGAAAACAGAACTATGCCTAAGGATTAGTTAGAGGTAGTTCATTAAGGCCCAGATTCCTTTCTGATCCAAGAGTGAGCATTAGAAGAAATAACTTAGGGATGAGTGAATCACCACTTATTAGACCAAGTTTCCAAAAGCTGTGTTGCAGCAAAAATTGCTAAAAACCGGGTGACTTCCGCTGTTTAGAAGCCAGACTATAGAAACCCAGTGGAGTAGGCGAATTCCTCTCACTTCTCACCCTTCACTTAGAAGTTCAGTAAGTTAAAGGAATGCAGCATTAAGCTACTTCCCAGAGGACTCAGTGAGGTAGAAACGAATGTAAAGGATAAGGAAAAAGACTATTTCAATCTTTAACAACCACACAAAGCAGATACTCAAGCAAAGTGCATGCACATGCGTGTGAACAGCAGCACCATTCACAACAGCCAAAAGGTGGAAACAGCTCAAGTGTCCATCAACAGACAAGTGGATAGACAAATTATGGTCTATACAATGGGATATTATTCAGCCACAAAAGGAATAAAATAGATACATGCTATAAGGTAGATGAACCTTGAGAATATTAAGCTAAGTGAAAGAAGCCAGACACAAAATGTCATGTATCCTATGATTCCATTTAGAGGAAATCTCCAGAATAGATCAATCCACAGAGACGGGATACAGATTGGTGGATGGCAGGGGCAGGAGGCTGGGGGGCGGGGAGTATGGGGGGAAACTGCTTAATGGTAAGGAGTTTTACTTTGGAATGACAGAAATGTTCTGGAACTAAGAGAATGGTGGTTGTCTGACATTGTGAATGTACTAAATGCCACTGAATTGTTCCCTTTAAAATAGTTAAAAAAATAAAAACCAAGTCTTAAAACAAGACCCTTGCCTCCAGAATCCTCTCCACTGTCCTTTACACTTACCTTGCATACCATGGATGTCTTTGCTCCAAGCCTGGCAGCTTGGACACACTGGTTGGCACCTTTCCCTCCAAAGCCAATAAAAAACTTATGTCCATGGATGGTTTCTCCGGTTTTTGGCAAACGAGAAGTAAGACTGCCGTAATTTAAAAAGAGAAGGAAAAAAAAAAAAAGGCACATTGGTAACTGCAGTCAGTTTAAGTTCTTCAGAAGAGAGAGGGAAGGTTCTCTGATGGAGTCTAGTCTTAGCCATCAGAAATGCAAGCAGAAGTAGAGAAGATCACCTTTTCCTTTAAGATAACACTCGGTAGTTGGTCTCGCTATCCAGAATGCACCTGCTGACAGGATGCCTGCCCGTCCCCTCACAGTCCCACAGCCGCGCTCCAAAGCCACTTCAGTTTCTAGGGCCTGCTGCATCAGGGGTGTTCATGGATGCCTCCATTTTCCATCATGGGGAGCTCTTGAAGGTAAGTCCCTTCCGATTCCCACTTCCCAGTGCCTAGCACAGACCTTTATTCACAGTGGCACTTGTACATGGGACCAAGTTAATGTGTGTTTCTGTACTGGTTTACCTGGTCACTTTAACAAGAAGTAGGAAGTGTACCAGGGCTCTGGTAACCACGTTCAGAAAGGACCTAAGGAGAAGAGGGAGGTTGCAATTCTAGGCGCTGAGGAATCCCGTGTGTTTCCTGGCAGGTGGGGCAGGAGTGGGTTGTTATTTCCATGGCAGGATCAGGTGTTAGTCCCAGTCCATCCTGCAAACCCACCCATTTCAGGTACTGACTCAAAAAGAGCATCTATTCTTAAAAAATGGAGTCTAGAGAGCTAAGCTTAGTTGAAAATTTTTACTACAGAAAATTTCAAACCTATAAAATTAAGAGAAAACAGTATATTGACTTCCCCACCCCAGGCACTCATGACCCAGATTCAACTCTTGTCACCTCCTAGCCAACCCCGTTTCAGTCTCTACCGTCGTGGACTTCTCCAAGAGCTAAGGATTTTCACTCACCTCTTACTGCCTGGTGACGGTAGTAGTCAAGGAGACAAAAAGAGTAAAAGGTTTCCTCCAGGGTATGATTTTCATAACATTAAACTGGAAGATGTGAGGAAACAACATCTTTGAAGGACAGATGTGAAAATGGAAAGGGTGAGTGTGAGTGAAGAAGATGGGCTTGGCCAGCACGAGGACTGGATGGCCAGAAAGAACTGGGCCGAGGGCCAGATGGAGCAATGGCAGGTGTGACCAAAAAGGTTAATTAGCTTTAGATGGGAAAGGAAGGCCAAGAGGGAAGTTCATGACAGTAAGTCGACTGAGAACCTACCCTGTTTTGGCAGATCTGAAATTTACATTCATTTCCCACCTAGGCTGTGATCTATCTGAAACCAGTCTCTTGTGCCTAATCTTAGAGTACCAGGACAATGCCAATTCCTACAGGTCACTAACAGCCTGTTGGCAATGGAATGATCTATGACTGATGCCAAGAACACACAATGGTGTTGATGATGACCAAGTTCAACCTGTGCACCTCCTTTATGTAGTTCTAAAAGTCTCAGTAAATTGGGCTAAACTACTCCATTCCCTAACACTGCAGTGTCAAATATGGCTATTTGAGATTCAAGAGACTCATCAATAATTTGAAAACATTCTATTCCACTCCTCCCCTTTTCAGTGCTATTTTTACCTCCTATTCTAAATGCATTTATAGTACTGATGAAAAAAATATCCATCTACAAGGTTCACTTCTGAAAAAGGTACTCAATCAAGAGAAAAATGGTTTTAATGTAATGTTATTATCCTGTCATTTAATTTAGCAATGACAAGTGATGATGAGATTTTGATTTGCATCAGAAATCTTAAACATTTTAGGATTCTGTTATGAACAGGCAATGATGAGTAATCTGTGCGACTGAGTAACTGTGAATTCTTGGCTTATTGATGCTGCTACAAACATCCATAACAACCTTAAAAAGAAAAAATATCCAATGTGGCTAAAAACAGGCCAAATAACTTAATTAGTAAGACTGTCGGTATAGAAACTTATGACTTCCACTATATTTATACTTAGATCTGGGTCACAATCCTCTGGTTTGAATCAAGTATATTTTTTATTATTGGCTGTAGGAAATCATGAAAAATATATCAGCAGATGATTATTGGGATGTGTATATGTGGGACGGAGGAGTGAAATCGGGGGTACAGTGTTGTGTGTTTGATGTGGGAGCAGATGGCTGGGATTTAAATTCCTTCCTAAACAACTTATATTAACACAAGCACTGTACTAATTTGGCCATCCCTGAAATTTCTCCCTCCTTTGGAATGCTACTCTTTTCTTTCTGCATCTCTGCCCTACTCTTTCTTCCTTCAATTGTAGACTCTCCCTGTATGGGGACAAGGACCAAGTCTGCCATTTTATCCAGAGTGCCTGCCACTTAGTATGGGCTTAACATATTTTTTGACTGAGTGAATTTTTTAAAGAGACTTCCCTTGTCTCCCTGAAGGGTAGCAGAATATGAATGGAGGAGCTCAGGACACAGTGGCCAAATGTGCCACTTTGGTAGAGTGCTAATGTTGGGCTGTTGGCCCGTGAAAAGTAGCCAATGGAGGGAGAGGCTTTCTCTGAACTGCCCCTTATCTGCCTCAAGACCAGTCCCCCAAAAGGACTCAACAGCCACGATTCCCCTCCCTGGGAGTTTCATCAACCAGCAAGGATGGACTCCTATCACAGACGAGAAGTCAACACCACGTCCAGACAAACGTCACAAACATCATCATACCTCCTATTTAGTCTACCGAGGGCCAGTTCATCTTTCCTAAGTCATTTACTCTCCCCTAAAAGGCCTCCCATCGCCCTTCCCTATCAAGAAGGCTGAATTCTTAATCACCTTGGGGAGTCACTCCTTTTCCCCTGGGCATCGCTCACGTATACCTGGGGCATACAGGTTAATACATTTGTTTTTCTCTTGTTAATCTGTCTTTTATTACCACGGTCTCAGCCAAGATCTGAGAAGGGAAGAGGGAAAATTAGCCCCTCACCTCCACCTCTTTTCTGTGTCTCCCCTGGGTAGCTTCCATTCCTACTTCTAAAATGCAGATGTGGCGGTGTTGATGAATGGGAAGGAGACTGGCAGGGATGTTCAGTTGTCTGGCAATGACAATCCCATGGTTTACCAGACCTTGCCCACTGCATTCACAAATATTAGCAGCACTCCTCTCCTACAAGCAGGAACTCTAACTAGAAATCAGACTATCGTTCTTCATTCATGTGTTAATTCAAAAAACGTTAAATCGGTGTTTTCCAGTCTACCTCTATGGGACAAAAGCAACTTGCTGACAATGTAATAAATCCTAACCCTAATGCAAGCAATATATGAGTGGAAAAAAAAATGACTGAGCACAAGATTATTATGATCTGATTCATGTTTTTTTTTTTTCTTTTAAAGATCAAATTGGCTTTATTAAGCGAATCGTGAATCGGGAAGCATCTAACAGGTAGAGGGGAGCGCCCCAACTCATGTTTTTTAAAGATAAAGATATATGTATATGTTCTCATAATATGTAAATGCACAGAAAATGAAATGTTAATGACAGGTATTCATGAAAAGGGTGGAGAGGGGGAGCAAAAGTTCATGTTTTACTTTATATACAGAGGTATACGCAACAAGAATATATTTGTGCATTATGGGAAGCCACTTGTTACTACTTCAGATTCATCTGGCTTCTCAGCATCTTTTTCCAGCTACCTGGGCTGGTAGCTGGCTCCTTGTAGGTGCAACCTAACACAGCCTTGCCCAATGCCACTCTCTTTTCACTCCAGGGTTTCTGTTCCTTGGTCATGGTTCCCTGGCCGTCCGCAGCAGGTAACTAGTTAAACACGTCAAGCATCTTTGTATACGCTTTTCTTGCTCCCTGGATTATAGCCGTGCACAGATTATATGCTCTTAGACCTTTGTCTTGTGACCTTTCTGTTGAACCCAGACTAAGTTTACTGCTTATTTTATTGATTTTTTTTTAAAGTAAATGGAGTGGAAAGCGAAGTTGAGAGCAACTAGAAAGTTAGTTACAGACAGGCAGAAGCATTTCCGAATTATAAATCCTAATTTACCTTGAACTAGGTTTTCCTATCTCTTTCCTTATTAAAATCATGAAATTAGGGTCTGGCTCAAGAAAGGACCTGCACAAAGCATCATCCCCTCGATGAAAGCATTGCTATGATTTGCCCCAATTCAAACATGAGGTTTATTAGCAGGGTGCCACGGACAAAGTGCTCAAAGGAAAATAAAAAGGGAGCAGTATACTGGTAGTAATACACTGTTGCTACCATTTAAAAATTAAAAAATAGAGTGAAGTTTCTGAATGAGGGGAGAAACCCCAGAGAAAACCAATCATAAGAAATATATTTGAATTTAAAACAAATTCATAACTTTAAAAATGTCACATTTTAAATTTGCACAGGAGGAAACACTGCTAAATGTTCATAGATGGACCCGCAGTCTTCTGGGCCCTGAGAGGTCACGTGGCTAGAGCCTAGTTGCGCAAGGCAGCAGGCCTGAGCCACTTACTGATTGTATTACCTTTGACAGCTTTTCCCTCTTTGAACCAGCTTCTTCTCTTGCAAAACAGTTTTAATAATACTTGTCAACTCCTTAAACGCCTGGGTTTTGTGCTCGGAGTTATTTCACTGACAGGTGTTATCAGAACAACTAATCAATTGCTTTTAGCTTCTTGACAATGATGTGCTTGTTACAGATTCTCGGCGATGATTCACACCAAAGGAAGGAATGACCTGGTGAAACAGGGATGAGAAGTCTTTCGACCAAAGAGGTCACACACTCCTGGCTCCAGCCCAAAGTTGAGGAATAATATGTTGCTTTTTGGCTTTTTGCGTTCCATCCTTTCTTCTGGCTGCAAGCTTGTGACACACTGTATGCCTCTATAATAGGGGATTGTACTATTATTGCCCAATTAAAATTCATTACGCTCATTTATTATTCCCATTGCCTGTACTCTTCAGCCGTATCTGTTCTGCTCAGCATTTGTGTATGTCACATTTATAGGAATGCGTGTCATTTCCAAACCAACCTAGTGATCTTTCTAGCTCTGTAAAAAAAACAAAAACAAAAGAACAGCTTCAAATC